GTCACGAGAATTCTTCTGAATTGGGTTTTGGACTTTGTGGACTTGACACTAACTTCCAACCTGCTAGGTCACAAAAAAATGCGGGCTCATGCTTCCCATACTGAGTGTGCTTTAGAAAGAGAGGTGCCCGGTTTGTAATCAACTGGCTTGCTTGGGTAGTGTGAATGAGGCTGTAGGTTATATTGCAGATGCAGAATGCAAATCTTCCTCTTGCTCCTGAACTTGAGCTTAAGCTACTTAAAAGGTTTCGGCTTACAGGTAGTCCTTGTTTAGTGACCACAAGTGGGACTGGCAACTCGGTAGTTAAACAAAGAGTCACTAAGTGAAGCCGTGACTGTGCTTACAACCTAACTTCAGCTTTTCTTTGCTTTATAGACCTGTGAAGATCATAAATTCAAGGATTGGCCATAAAATTACTTTTTTATCACTGTCATAACTGTGAATGGTCACTAAACAAGGCAGTCACTAAATAAGAACTCCCTGTAATCACAGAATGCCCTGTAAGCATGCTTTAAATGAATGAACATTTGCTCCCAGGGTCTCTGCTGTCCAAACTCTCTGTATTCTGTGTAAATTTTGCAAATCAAATCAAGTGAATGTTGAATACTATAAACACGATTAGGATTGGGTGTGCGTATCTATGTGTTTATTATTTATTATGATGGTGTGCGCATGGCCCCACATCCATAAATGCAAAATTGTGTGATCCGAGGTGAAGTGGAACAGCCCAGTTCACACAATATGCATGATCCACTCAGCCACTAACCCAGGGCTTTGGGCAACACACAGTCATGCTCCTGGAGAAAAAAGTGAGCAATTGCTGGAGTCCCACCCACTTTCTTCAGGACGTACCTGGTATCCCATGAGCCTTCAAGGCTACATGACATCCCTTCTCCATTGGCCAGGAAGGCAGTAATAGGTGTAGTTTGATGGTTTCAGTCAATCAGTGGTTGGCAGCAAAGTTCTGTACAGGTAGTCCTCGAGTTACGACGGCAATTGGGACTGGAATTCCCATCGCTAAGCGATGCAGTCAATCAATGTCTGGGGGTGAATTTGTTAAACTTTTAGAGTCCACAAAACATTCAGCCATTCAGAGTTGATTATAGCACTTCCACGTGATGTTGAAATCTGGATCCTGTCTTGGCTGCTTCCTGGTCCTCCAGGAGCATTGGCTATACCAGTCTACAGAGGCGTCAGAGGGCAAAGGATCCCTGGTGATGGGGGAGCCCCCCAGAAGTGCTTCACTGGAGTTGATTCCCAAAACCATCAAGCCGAAAGGGAGATACGGCACAACCGTCAAAATCATTCTCAAAGAGAAGAACAGGAAAGGTAATTCTAGGTTTGATGGACCTGCAGCATTTTTTCTGGGGAAGAAAGAAGAAGCCCACTTTCCAGGTTGGGGGCGGGGAATAAATTATTCAGGGGTGATATTAGGGGTTCATAACTTGTAAAGGGGAGCTCAGTCTCTGAAAAATTTTGCTATTTGGCACAAGAGCAAGTAGTTCCCCAGATTTTGGAAAAGGGCAAAACTAGATCACAGTTTCCAGTGAGTTGGGTTGATTAAAGAATCGAGTGGGAAGGACCTGGAAAGGGTGACTTGATTTTGAAAGTAAAGCCAAACACAGTAGTTAGTGCAACTTAAACTACCAGCATCTTTGGCCTGCTATAATATTTGCAGAGCGCCTTTTTGGTGCTTCACAACCCGATCAGAACCATTGTCAGTGGGTTCCAAGGAGGAAAAAGATCCTGGATGGTCTGATCAAAGGCTCTTGCAGAGGGTTTCTACCAAATGACTGCATTCCAAAAACACGTTTAGCATGTTTTCTGAACTTACTGTGTTTTCTGGACTTGCAAAATGCAGTGATGCACAGAAGAACTCAAAGGGCTGGATTTTCTGATTACCTATAAACTGAGATGACATGGAGTCATTTGGGAAGACGAGTTTTGGTCTGGCTATATCCTTGTTTAGAGCAGGCTGCAAAAGTTATTCCCCATTTGGTTTCTGCAGGGAGGGTCCAAAAAATTAAGATGGCAGCTGTGGCTGCACAATAAAATCTTCTGTCTCTTCAGTCATGTGGTCACAGTTGCCATCTTGCATTTTTGACACCCCGTCCCTTAACAGATGCCCTTGCTTAACTGGTTGCATTTTTGTTCATCTCAAACCATATTTTACTGTCATGTTTTTAAACCAGTATTTCCTTCCTTCCTTCCTTCCTTCCTTCCTTCCTTCCTTCCTTCCTTCCTTCCTTC